TGCGCAGAGCCAGAAGTGAGTCCAGAGCCTTGGATGGTGGCAGCGGGAACCCCAGGCTAGCGGGTGTGCTCCAGGGAAGGGGTCGGCCAGACGGGAGGCACCCTAAGGGAGGCACTCGGAGCCTGGAAGGTGGTCGGGCGCAGGGAGGTGGGCGGCTCAACGCAGGAGCGCCCCCTACTGGCCCGCCACAGTAAGCACACCCCTAGGAGTATTTGGGAAGGCCCCAGGGGATACATGGCAGTGGTGTGGAGAAGCACTTCTGGTTTTGCTGCCAGCGCTTCTTGGACACCCTCCCCCCCTTGTCCATCAGTTGCCAGGGGACACTCCCCACCCCACCTTGACTGGCCAGAGGACTCCCTGCTTCTTGACCAGCCGCCAGGAGTACATCAACCAAAAAAGGTTGAAAACCCCTGATCTAAAGAAAGGAGTCATGTTCAGTGTTTCCCAACCCGTGGGTCACAACACAAAAGTGGGTCACAAGAATATATGAAAGGGTCACAAACAATCATGGAAAAATGTTCAAAAATAATGGATTGTCTCCTTTACAGGAGAAAAACCATGTGAAACCATGGGCTTCCACTTGTAGGCTGGCAGAGTGCCATGGGGTTGCAGCCTGGCTGACCAGCATAGGCAAGAGCCACCTCTGGGACCCAGAGCAGGGCACTGAGACCTGCTGCTGCTGTTGCTGCAGGGACCCCTGCACCAGTCACACCAGCAGCAGCGTGAGGAGTAACAGCTGGGGGCGGGGGGGGGGAGAAACGCCTCAATTGCCCTCACCTCCTCCCACCACTACTGCTCCTCTCGGGCCACGGCTCTACCCTGGAGGGGAGATGGAGTGGTGGGCAGCACTGGCGGCCTAAGGGGACCAGTGGTAGCCAGACCATGGCAGCAAGGTAGAGCTGCAGCCTGGCACACAAGCAGTTAACAACAGGAGGAGGGGAGGGCAGCACAGCTGCCCCGCCACCCTGCCTTGCTCCTCCTGCTGCTGGTGGTACGGCTGATGCAGGGGCCCTGGTGACATGGTCAGCAGCAGCAGCAAAACGTTTTGACACCCTGCTTTGGGTCCCATCAGCTGGGCCATAGTAGCAGCTCCTGCCCATGCTGGCCTGGGCAGGCTGCAGCCCTGTGCTCACTGTGGGCACACCCGTCTTCCCTTGCCGCACACTCCCACCCCACACAGTGTGGGGTTAGGGCCTGGGTATTGGGGGGGGCACCCAGTCAGGAGCAAGGGACATCAGCAGGGCTGGGGGTGGGGGGGTGGAGGACTGTGGGTTGGGACTGAAGGGCACTGGCTTGGCCAGGGGGCTGCGAGTCAGGATTGAGGGTTATCATCACTGCAGTATGCAAAATGAACAATGATGAATGTCACCTGGGAGTAATGGAGGACCACATGTTGATATTGCTGTTACTGTTTTCCTATAGATGTTGATTTCTGTCTTTAAAATTAAGGCTGTTGAGCTGCTTTAAACTTGTGAGCCCAAAATACTTGTGTGATTTCTACTTAAACTATTTACTGGTCAGGACTGTCCATGGATGTTTACAAATGGGTCCTGATTAGGACTGTGAATTAATCGTGGTTAACACATGATTAATGTGTTAATTGTTGTTCACGTTAATTTTTTTTAATGTGTTAATAGTGCACATGGTTTTGGAGCCCACGCCTGGGCTCTGCTCTGTTGTCATCACCACCACCTCTGGGCTGCCCTGCAGGGCAGTGGTGGCAGCACAGAGGACTGCAGGGCAGCCCAGATGCAGATTTAGATGGCTACAGTGTGTGTAGAGGGGTGCACAGACACGCAGCCACAGCCTGCAGGCGGCCAGGAACACAGCCCGGCGGCATGTGGAGCAGTGCCCAGCAGGCAAGTGTGTGAAGGGGAAGGGGTGTGGGGGAGGGAAGCAGCATGCGGTGGGGGAGGTTGAGGCCCCCACGGTGAGGGAGCAAGTGAGACAGAGGCAGAACCAGGGGTAGGGGCTGGAGTGAATAGGGCCCTGGGGCCAGGGCAGGTCATGGGACGGAGCCATGAGCACAGGGGGACTCCCGCCGCTGCACACACCCTGGGAGAGGCATTGTGGGGCACATGCCCCCTGGATTTGTGCACGGGACAGAAACAGGTTGTCACTGCAGCCTGGGGCTCTGTGCCTCGCTGCCTTTACCTCAGGAGCCATGCACTAGCTGCGCTATGTCCCCTGCCTGCCCTGTGGTGGGAGGCACAGCATAGCATTACGTGGCTCCCAGGGCAATGGCAGCAGGGTGCAGAGACCAGCACACAGCGGCAGCCCTCCCAGGGTGCATATAGCAGCAAGGGCCATGCCCCCCCTGCCCCGCGCCCACTGACAGTTCCTTCCACTTTGCTTCTCCCTGCAGCCCCGGGAGCAGCTGATGCCACCTGCTCGCACCCCTCTACCCACCCCTTCCCTAGCCCCAGCCTCACTCCCTCCCTCACCACTGTGGGAATGTATCCCTATGTTAACTTATAAACCGGGTTCCCTTTTCGCGAATACGAGTTATGTAGTTTTCTGGGAATGCATGTACCACATAAAACGAGGGAAAAAGGTACAAAAAGGTTGAGAACCACTGACCTAGTTAGCCTTAGTATCAATTCACTTCTAAGAAGCCAGTGGAGCAAGAACCACTCTAAGTCTGAACCTAAGGGTGGGAGGAATGGGGGAAGCCACACAAAACCTCCATCCAAAGCCACTATCCTTACTCTGCTCATAGTGAACAAGTAAAACAGAAGGGAACAGCTGACTAGTACTAGTGGGTTTTCTCAGGCAGCTACTACTTTCTTGTTCACAAGAAAATCCCTTGCTCAGGAGGATCCACTAAGGAAAGGAAAACAAAACCCCGAAGAATTTTAAACAAAGCCAAGGCCAAGTACTGAATAAGTATAAGTTGTTACTCTACTGGTCTAACAAAGGTAAAGTCTAATAAAATGGCTCAACCTTTTCCATACCACGATCCCTCCTTCCTAAACCATAAAGAAAGGGAGGGTGCCAATAGCTAAAATTTGTTCTGTTTGTAAAGCCCAGGCTAAGAACCTGTGATTTAATGAAAAAGACCTGGATTAAAAAAAAACAACCCACAAAAAACCCCCAAACCTTACAAGTCTGTCCCATGGTCTAACTCTACTTTCAAATGCATCTAGGCTTGAACAAATAATCCCTCCATTTTTGCCAAAATAATACCATCAAAATAAAACTGGAATACAGTTACTGCTGCTTTTATTAAAAATATCTTAAGTCTTTTTCAGTATCACCAAGCATGAGAACTGAATATGAATATCCCACTTAGAGAGCCATAAGCTTCTTGGACTCCACCACAGAAATCCCAGCCAGCAGCAAAAAAGGTCAAGACAAAAATTTGTCTGAAAAGACAAAATACCAGTAAGCTATACCCACATATGAAGAGAGAGAAACAGACCTATACTCGTTAAGAGCAGGGAGAGGGGGAAGTTCTGTCACCACAGACTAGGAAAAAGAGACACTCAGTTCATGAACATCTATCAAGGATGCATACCAGGGATGTTCCCTGACAGCTCTCACTGCTGTCAGAGCTTCCATGGTTTGCCAGGGGAGAGATGTAGTCCCTTCAGTGACAGTCTGCAGAGGCAGTTTTATGAGAAGTAAAATAAGCAACATGAACAGGATTTCTGTGAATAAGTTTTTAGGTCCAGACCACAGGATAGGGATCATTTAGAATAAATAAAACTCTCCCTCTTTCTATTTCTTTTCTTTTTAATGATCAAGATCATATGACCTTCAAAAGTCTTACAAATATTACACATACCTTTCCATTTCTCGAAGAATGTCTGGTACAAGTTTTATGTCTTTTGTTATTGTGAACTTTTTCCCAAAAGGAACATCCGAAATGACAACATCAATGCTTTCTGAAGGTAATGGCAATGCTGCAGAATAAAAAGTCAAATTCTTATGTTTACTTAGAAAAGAAGGCAATTAGCTAGTAGCTGTAGTTCAAGTACATTGAAAATAAAAATCCTCTCTCAGAGAGCATTTAACTCTTCAATATTATGAGTCTGCTGGGCCAGCACATACACTCCTTTGCACAAAATGAACTATTCCAACCAGATCTATCTTACAACACCTTCAGCTCTCCTGTGAAATACGGAAATTAATTTCTACATAGGAGAAATATTATAATCTTCGCATTTTCCTATGCCTGAAGGGTGTGTGCACCCAAAAGCTTGCAAATAAAGACTTTTTTTGCAAATATCTTGTTGGTCTAATAAAAGATATCACCTCTGCCATGAGTTCTGGTTTCTTTTGCCTGTAGACTAATATAACCTGTATACCTTTCACAGACTGAACACAGACCTGATCACAAAAGGAGTCTTGAACCCTGCTCCAACCCAAATGTCTTTCATCTCCAAGAGAATCCACACCACAGACTGAGAAGGTGGTGTCAATGACAGAGAGAAGTATTACAATTATGAAGTCAATCTCCATATGGACTTATAGAAAATCATAGAATCATAGAAAATTAAGGTTGGAAGAGACCTCAGGTGATCTAGTCCAACACTGCTGAAAGCAGGACCATCCCGAACTAAATCTTCCCAGCCAAGTCTTTGTCTAAGTGAGTCATAAAAACCTCCAAGGATGGATATTCTAAAACCTCTCTGGGTAGCCTGTTCCAGGTTTTTACCACCCTTCTCATGAGGAAGTTTTTCCTAATGTTTAAACTTCCCTTGCTGCAACTTGAGACCATTGGTTCTTGTTCTGTCATCTGCCACTACTGAGAACAGTGTAGCCCCATTCTCTTTGGAACCAGCCTTCAGGTAGTTGAAGGTTGTTATTAAATCTCTCAGTCTTTGATACCTTCATGGTGGTGAGGGAGTGGGGCTTCCCCCCAGACTTACCGGCTGGACGATGCTCTCCAAGCTGCTGGGTTGCATTCCTGGCCATGTGCATGCTGCATCCGCACGCATGCACACAGTATTTAATCAGTGACATTATTGGCCAAAAAAAGCTGATTGTTGATAATAGCAATTATCCTTTATCAGTGCCAATACGATACGGACCAATATATTGGTGCACCTCTATTCATAACTTTTGCGAAATTGTGTGCTATCCAATTTAAAAAAACAGAGTATGTATTATAGTGCTTTCCTCCTAGCAGAGGGGCTGGGCAGTGGGGTAGGAGATTGGCCAGGCAGGGGATGTGAGCTTGCACTTATATCCTCATGACACTCTTCAAAAGATCTAACAGCACCCCAGGATACTGTGACTCCCTGGTTGAGAATCTGCATTAAACATTCAAGTCAGCCATCTGGCAGCAGGTGTCATCAGAATGTGTTCCTAACACCTTCAAGCACTTTTCACAGGTGCAAGATGCATCTAAAACAGCTATTCACAGGCAATAAAATGGTATGGTGTCTGTCTGTTGATGGATTCAGATACAAACTCCAAACAAACCCCAGCATGGACACATTCTCTTTCATTAGAAAGAAACTGATGTAATCATGTTAATGGAAAGTGATGTTAGTTTTTTAATAAAATCTGGTTGCAGGTAGGCCTGGCTATTGCCAATTCATTTCAATTTTATTTGGGCTGCTGTGTTTGAATTTTCCACAACTGCTTGAGTTTTCCATGCCAGCTCTGTGAATTACTATTTTTCCATGCACCTGAGCTATCTGAGAAGGTCAATCTCTTGAGAATGGCTTTAGCTGTTTCCCAGAATGTCCTTGGGTCCAGAGTTAAAGTAAACCACTTCACTACAACTGAAATAGACAGCTATGCAATCTTTCTCAAAAAGCGTAGCATTGACATATTCTGACCAATGACTAAGATATAAAACACAAGGCATTGACTACTTGCTCAACACAGGGATGGTTTGAGATCAGACTACTTCTATACACCAAGCCAAATTAAGGGGTCTAAAGCCAATCAGGTATGAAATAGGTTTTACAAGAATAAATATATATCATCCTCCATCTTCAATGTACAAAAAGCTGTGAAGGTGTCAGACAAAGGTGGGGAGGGATTATGCTATCTGCTGTAATATGGGGATAGTGTTTCAGAAGGATAGTTCAGGGCCAGGTTTGGAGGGTTTGTCCAGACTGTCAAAGCAATTACCTTCTCTTAAGTCCAGAAACTGAAAACAAACTAACAGCATCTTCCAATAAAAACAACTAAGGCCATTAAAAATATATTAACTGCCAAAGAGAATAATTCACCATGTAATTTAACAAGTTATTATGGCAGTTTCTTTGCTAAAAACTCTGTTACAAGCTGCATTCATAGCACTTTTTTCTGCTATTATGATAGTGTCTAGAACTTTTACCTAATGCACCAATATCTTTTTTAAACTTGAAATATCACATTAAGGTACAGAATTAATGTTTACAGTGCCCTATATTCAGATAGTTTTTTTATCACAACACAAAGGGGAGAGAACAGAAAAAGATAGCATGTCACAACCATTAAGGAAAGTCCCCAGTTACAAATGGAAAATCTTGGTTTTACTGTACTGTAATTCTCAGCATTAACTATAATTTCTGGAACTGCTACAATCCTTAGTATCTGCTTTATGATTTGCAGTATTTCCAAACATTACCTATCACAGAAGCTTTAAGTAACTCAATTTTATCCATCAAGTCTGCAGCCTTAACATTCTCGCATGCACCTTGGAGCTGCGAATCACTTATATCAGTACCCAAGTAATGTACATTCTGTAGGAAGAGAGAAGACAGGTGGGGTGGAGAGGATAAACAAAACATTTACTCCATAGAAACAAACCCTCTCCTCCTCCAAAGAAAACCAAACCCAAACAAACATGTTACTTTTTACACATTATTAATTACTTGTTAATTTTACACATTGAATGGCACAGGTTCAAATATTAGGGCTGTAGGCAAGATTCAGTGAAGCAGCTCTTAGAACAGCCACATGTAACTTAAAACCCCAGAGACGTATGTGGGGAGAGGGAGGAGATTCATAGATTGTAAGGGCCTGGAAGGGACCTCGCAATATCATCGGGTCTAGCCCCCCTGCACTAGGCAGGAAAGATAACTGGGGCCAGGTGACCCCAGCAAGGTGACCATCTAGTCTCCTCTTGAAGATTTCCAGGGTAGGCGATTGCACCACCTCTGGAGGAAGTTTATTCCACAGTCTGGACAGCCTAACTGTCAATAAGTTTTTCCTACTGTTAAGCCTGAAATGGTCTTCCAGGAGCTTGTGGCCATTACTCCTGGTTTTCCCCAAGGGTGAGCCCTTGATGTATTCCCATGGTATAGCAGTAAGCTGCTACCAAGTCCCCTCTCAGCTTTCTCTTTTTTAGGCTGAGGCAGCCCAAGCCCCTCAGCCCTTCCTCGTATGGCTTGCCTTGCAAGTCTCTGATCACATGGGCGGCTCTTCTCTGGACTCTCTCAAGCTTTTCCATGTCCTTGTTGAAGTGTGGTGCCCAGAACTGGATGCAGTACTTCAGCTGTAGTCTCACCAATGCCAAGTAAAGTGGAAGAATCACTTCCTTGGTTTTGCTTGAGATACATCGGTTGATGCATGCCCAAGTATGGTTTGCCCAGCTGGTTACAGCACTGCACTGATGGCTCATGTTCATACGTTGGTCTATTATTACCCCTAGGTCCCTTTCAGTCATGGTGCTAGTCTGTTTGGCGCCACCAAGCCTGCTAGTACGTTGAGGGTTGTTCATCCCCAGATGGAGCACGTTACACTTTTGTGCCATAGTTGTACACTTCCAGTTCTGGGCTGCTCCAGAGACCTGTCATTTAGAGAAGGGGGGGGCTTCTGACTTACAACAGCACATCCCTAGTTACTTATAGGAACTGGACTGCTTATGGTTCTTGTAATACACTGTGCTGTGGCACTATCCCAGAAGTAACCTCTACTCTGGCAAGCATAAGCATCTTTTGAATACAGTCTGCAGCTGTATGTCTCTGCTCCTGCACTGAGGGAATTCTCCCCTATTTAGGTACAAGGCTTTAATAGTGACCTCAGTAAGACAACCCTGCTAAGACCCCTTCACCTGGGTAAAAACACTAGAGCAGGTGAAAGAATCTCAGTGTAGACTAAGATTCTCCAACAGCTTGCAATGGCTGTGGGGGCAGTATATAGGACTGAGATCTTTATATATTTTGGAAATATTTTAAAACTAAAACTTACCTAATAAAACCCCAAAGAAACCTGCAAGTTTTTTGTAAATAAACCTGGCTCCAATTTTCCAGCAAGAACACACACTTAAATTACAAGTCACATTCTTAAAATAAACGGATACAATAGAACTGCAATGCCATCTTGTTAACATCCTACCCATCAGGACCTTTGAACTTACAGGCCATTCTTTTGCAGCTTCCAAGAGTATTGTTCCCAACCCACACATGGGGTCTAACACAAATGCACCAGCCTACACACAGAAATAAGAAGGATATTATACACAAAGCAAGACAACATCAATTTGTCTTCCAATGCAACAAGCCCACTCTGATGATGGGCTGAATACCCAGAAATTCCCACTGAAAAAAAAAAAAAAAAGGTTGACAATAAACAGCAAAATTACAAGATCAAATTCAGTATAAGACAACATAATGAAAAGAATCAGTAAAGACAGTATCGCTTGAAACATGGCACACGTTTCCACGCAGTCTTTGAGGTAAAAATTGTTTTTAGATATTAATGGAATGTATCTACTATATAAATTTATGTGGGAAAAGCTCAAAATGTTTAGCTTTTCTGAAACAATGAATACCATATTTACTCAAATCTAAGACAAAGTCCGTCCATCCCTGTCCCCCCCAACCCGATCGGCATGGGGGGGCTCATCTATGATTTATGTACAATGAGGGGGGCAGGTGGCTGCTATGGATCCTGGGTCAGGGCCAGAGTCAGACCCACAGCAGCCTCTCCCCACCCCTTCTACTTGCCTTTTGCAGCTTCTAGCCCTCTCTTGCTTCTTTTCCTCAACCTTACTTTCAGGTGCAGCTCAGCTCTGGCTTGGGCTTGGGCTGGATTCCCTCCCAAGCATGGAGCACATGGAAACTCCATCCCCTGCCCCACCACTGCTGCATGGCCTGGCAAGGGCTACACTTCCACATGTTGTGCTCCATGACCCAGGAGGGAACAGAACCTGAGCAGTCTGATAGTAAGAGGGTACGGAGAAAGACTGTGGGGAGTTGAAGGGGGAGGAAGAGAGAGAGACTGTGGGGAACTTCAGGTCAGGGGGTCCAGGTTGCTTTCATCAGACCATCTCTGAGATCTTCAAATGTTTTCTGAAATCCAGAGCTGTGCTGCCTAGAGGGCCAATGGTGTTAAGAGAAAAATTATATCCAATTTTTCCTAACAGATTTCCATCAGATTACCACTATTCCCACTATCTGAGCCACAAAATCCTCAGCTCTCAGACAAACACCACTCTTTTTTATGCAGGACCCTATATTGCTAGTTAGTGCTAATCTGTATTAATGTTTGCTTACACTGATTTCAGCAAGAGATGCCATAGCCCAAGCTATAGTAGAGCGCAGTCCTGCAGTTTTGATGTACTCTCTATTTGACAGTGGAAGTCTGCAAACAATAACCAAGGTGAGATACCAAGCTGAGATAGTCCATATAAAAAGGAAATCCTAAAGAAATTATCTTCTTAGGCCTGTGTCTTGTCATACATAAACGCCTTACTGTAGTCATATTCACTGAAACTCAAACAGAAGGAAAAGTCAGTGGATACTGTACTTTTGAAAAAAAGACCACTGGATTTAGCTGCCTACTTAAGGCTCTTATTTCAGAAAACTTTGGCTGAGGTATTCACATGAACACTAGATAAATTATATGATCTAGATTTATGACAGTCCAAGTGATACTAATTAAGTAAAAATAAATTACAGCAGCCAATTTGATTCTCTCATTTATTAAAATATGAAATGTCTGATGTACATGCTATGGGACAAGAATATCTACCTGAAGACAGGAATCCCCACCACAGAATACTCATCATTTAGATGGACAAAAATCTGAAATAATAATAAAAACAAAAGTTACAAAATAAAGATTTCATTTTAAAGTTAATATGGTAGCAGTTTTAGACAATTTAAACTAAACAAAATGCCATTTCCTTGACCTTCATAAAAGCCTAAGCCTATTAAAAACACCACACTCTTAGAAATTAGGTAGGAACAGTAGGTTACCCAAATTTAAATAGTTTTAAAATAGTAAGTTAAGCAAGTCCTATAGACATTGTATGTCCAGTAGGAGTTCATCACTGGACATACGTGTCTTTGAGACTTCTATTAAGTAATCAAGGAATGCACCCCTTTCTTTTTTTTCTTTTTTACTCTTCTGTAGTAGTAAACAACATACTGAATATACCTTTCAGAATATAAAGATCCCTCGCATAGTCTCTTAATATTAAGCAAGTTTTACAAAGGCCCATAAGAAGTATTTGGGAGAGAAAATTGGGGTGGCCAGGGATGGAATCTTTCCAAAACTCTGACAAAAAACCCAAAAAAAGATACCCCAAAAGGAAATGGTTCAATGGGACAAGAGAGTATGGGCCTCTCAACAGGTTTTGCAGGGCTAGAATTACTCCAAAGCCACCAAAATCCAAGTCACTTATTTGCACTGGAAAGACACACAAAAACCCCCCAAATCAAAATCGAAGGAAATTCATGCTCCTAAGTCATTCACACAATTTGAAAATGCCCATTCCCAGAGTGCCTGTGATGAAGAACACAACTGCCTTTCTGATGTACACCTCAGCGGCTCAAACAAGCATTCCTAAAGTCAGTAATAGAAGCTTTTCTGCCCCAGCGAGCATAAGCTGTGATATCATCCAAGAGCTGGCCAGCCATAAATACCAGTAAGAGATGGAACCTAACAGCTATTTGGGCAATGTCTGCACCAGGGGCGGGCAATTCTTTCGGGCGGAGGGCCACTTACTGAGTTTTGGCAAGCCATCAAGGGCTGCATGACAGGCAGCCAGGGGCAGATATATATTAATAGACTTAAGATGTCCTAATGTATTTTCACAGCTGTGCTAAAGCAGGTACGCTGCTTATTTTCCAGACTTTGGTGCATTCTGAACAAGGATGAATGGACTTGTTAGCAATAGTTCAGCAGAGGCTGTACACACATGGCCTTAGACACTGTTGAACTGGTGGACTGAAAAGACGGTGGACTGAAGTCTTTAGTCTGTTAAAAGAGAAGCTTAAGGATATTTTGGCATAATGCTTATAGAAGACAACTCCACCAAGTAGGGCTCATGAATTTGGGAAGAAGATGAACAGAGCCAAAGGCAGAGAGAGTCTTGCATAAGCCAACAGCAGTAGTTTGTAAACATCTAGTGAAATCTGGATAATATGCAAGGACCTGAAGCTCAAGCATTCCACCTGAAACTGAGCTCATAAATGCCTCAAAAAAGTTTTCAGGACAAAGCTAGCTCCCCTTTATAGTACCTTCTGGAAGACGCATGGGGAATGCAATAGAAATAAAGTGCATCAAGACCAGGGTGGGCAAAATGGAGAATCCAGCCAGCAGCTGGACTCCATTTCCTAGTAGTCCATGCCCACGTTCCTGCAGCCAATTTCCACAGAGGCCCCAGCAGCCATGGGGCCATGACAGCCCCGGGGCCAGAGCATCTATGGAGACTGGCCCCAGCAGCACTGGCAGGGCCCGTGGCTAGGTGGCAAGCTGCTCTAGGGCTGGAGCTGGGATCTTGCAACAGTGTGGTCCAGAGCCAGAACAGAGCTGCGATCTGCTGCCTGCATATCCCAGGGTCAGATGTTGCCACCACAAGATCTCAGCCCTGGCCCCAAAGCAACTCCATGACCAGCTATGCACACCCTGCCAGTGCTGCTGGAGCCGGTCTCCATGGAAACTCTGGCCCTGCACTGTCATGGCCCTGCTGCTGCTGGGGTCTCCATGGAAACCAGTCACAGCAACATGGGCAGGGGCTGCTGGGAAACAGCTGCTCTAGCCCACAGGCCGGACTTTGCCCATCCCTGATCAAGACCTACCTGACCCTAGTGACTAAAGGTGCGGACAATGGTCTGCACTTCCAGCCATTCCTGGCAGGCTGAAACAGCTGCTGGACATGACACTCTGAGTTAAAGACCCAGGCAAAGCAGAGTCCAACTGCTTGTGTGTAGCACCCAAAAGGGTCTGGGTAGGTTTGTTTCCAGTACACTGTAGCCCCTTCCCCCTAGAACTGAAGTCCTACTAGTTAATTTTTTCAGAGAAGCCAGAATGATTTGGTATACCTACGTGATATACCTACGTGGAGACAAAATGCTTGCCAAACTTAATCCTGACAGAAGCCAAGCCAGCAAGAACTTGGCCTTTGATAAAGGAAGGCGCCCTGAGTTTGAGTGACCACTGAACAGACTTTTAGTTTGATAAGGCTGCTCGCTGCTGATGTGGAGCAAGGCTGAAAACCCACCATTTGGTCCAACCTAAGGCTATGAGTGAAAGCAAACCTTTGGTCACTTCTGCGCTGGATTATAACCTCCACAATTAGAAATCATGGTGCTAAGGTATAGCAGTGGCTCCTTCTCCAGCTCTTAGTGATAACTTTTTGCTACATGAAAACCAGTACTTCCTTGTTCAGGTCAGTAGCAGAGCAGGGAGAGAGGTCCAGTTGTAGGACAAAGTAGCAGTCCTATGCCAGTATATTTCACAGATAAAAGCATTCTATGTTCCAAAACCAAAAACCAAATAATGACAGGAGAGAAAAAACCTATGCTGACAGTGTCATTCTAAAACCATTAAGAAATAATTCAGTAAACAAGCTCATTTACCTCTAGATCAGGGTTTCTCAGATCAGCTTTCCAGCCAAATTGTTTTAGAAGAGTGACACCAATCATTCTTCCAACCTCCTAGAGAAAAAAAAATTGAGCGCCACTAAGAAAAGAAACCTGAAATTTATAGGTGGCACAGATACAGAGAGAATATATAGTGCAGTATGATAATAGCGATGCCATATGAGATTACAGATGTTCAGGAATGGTTTGACAAAAAACAGGTTTCATTTGAAAAATGGCATTTTGTTGAAACCAAAACTATTGGTGGGAACATACACAATACTTCAACCAGGAAAAGGAGGTCTCAGCTTCAGGCTCCATGATGGCATTCTTGGTCAAAACCAAGGGAAGATCCATATGGCCCAGAAGACCCTATTGCCCTAACAACCATTGGAGGTTTTCTTGCGATTGGGAAACCAAGTTTAAAACTCCCTGGTCTGCCTGCCTAAGCCAGAGACTCATCTCCCACATTCTGGGTGCATGTCCCTACATCTCCCTCTCACTCTTTGTGGACCAATAAATAATTGATGCAATGGGCAAGAGGTGTAACAAGGGTAGGAAGCTGAAGTTCAAATCCTGCCCAATTCAGACCTGAAACTCAAATTTCAGTCTCCTACTTTCCAAGCAAACCTTCCAACTGTCTTCCATTCCTGGATTACCCCCAGCTGTAGCCATTCCTTCAGGCCCTCAGTGCCCTGTCTGGCATGCTGGACTTGTACACAGTGTTGGAGAAGTCAATTTTGACCAAGAATGCTATCACAGAGCCTAAAGCTGAGAACTCCTTGTCCTGGTTGAAGTGTTGTGTATGTTCCCACCAAAAGTTTTGGTTTCAACAAAATGCCATTTTTCAAAAGAAACCTGTTTTTGTCAGACCATTCCTGAACATCTGTAATCTTATATGGCATCGTTATCATCATACTGCACTACATATTCTCGCTGTATCTGTGCCATAGTTCAGCATAACTATCCAAGTGCACTGAGGGACAACATTTTCCCCAAACCTTCAGCCTGTTAACATAATCTGTACTATGAAACAAACTAAATTATTGTTCTTATCACTCACCTAAAAGAAATTCTGTGGGAAAAAATAAGATCCCAAGCAAGGATACTAAAAATTCATTCTTTTGTTTTAGAGATGTTACATGTTTCAGAGACATTTCTTTCATCTAAAATATGGAATGCCAGTTGAACTTAAATGAAATGTGCTCACTGCAGTGTTTGTACAAACTCCCACTGCTTTCAGTAGCCCATACAAATGCACATTATCAATACATTTGTTCTATAAATGACATTCAGTTCCAAGGAGGAAAAAAATCCATCTCTTTCTCTTATGTTAGCAATGCAAAACTCATTTCTGTTAATGAAGAAAAATGTCTTAAATTCCACTGGTAGAACATAGTTATCAAAATGAATGCTTTCATTACCCATCCATGAAGCATCAAAACATTCACTACCTGTTCCCAATATGGCTCATGCCAGAGATAAGAACATTTAAGCTTTTACTAGTTTGTAGTTCTTTAAGCAAGGAAACGCCTCCATGCTTAGAACACATTAATTCAGCTAGTCACTACTATCAACGTTACTACTATGGATAGCTTAAAAGAAAATTGTGCATGATAGACAGATTGTGAGACATGACTACAACATTCCCCATGGATTCTAGGAAGATATCTGTCAGTAGCAGCCATGTAACATGTAGCTCAGCTATACAAGTTTGCCTTTTCACAGGAGCAAAGCCACTAATTTCATCCTACCCAACTGGCAGCTCTCTAGTAGGGACGAATAAGTGTGTCACAAGGCCAAGAACTCCAACCCCACTAGGGGTGGGAGGAAAAGTTAGCCTGAGGTGGAAAATACCCGCACCCCCAAAATCTCAAGAGGGTGGGAAAGGCCAAGGGTTTCTTTGTTTGTTTGTTAAAATATAAATAACATTTTCTTAAAATGGCCCTGGGTATGATCATAAACTGCATCCGACTGGGGGGCCTGGTGGCAACATGATAGGGCTACTCATGGCAGGGTAGCTTATAAAAAATACCACAATGTTGCAGTCTCCAGAGCAAAGGTGAGCATAGGGTACCTCAAAACCCTGGCCGCCATTGCCTTGTGGGTATGCTTTGCTTGGAGAAAAGCTAAAGAGCATTGCCCTGACAGAAACCCGCCTTTGCTGGGGTGTTAGGCAACCAGCAACAGTTCTTATCTGTTGCTCTCTGGCAGAAGCTACAACTGTTGAGGCACTGAACATCTGGACTCAGTCTAGCCTTTGGATTCAGTCTCAGTGGTCTAAAGGGGAGATGGTAAGTCTTTGGCAGCCTCCATACTCTTGCCTAGGCATACACCTTGAAGTTCTTGGTGTGATGGTCACTGGACTCCATACAAGTGGATTCATCAAGCACCTGACTAGACCTCTTACATGTACACCATGATGCAGAAGATTGATGGTTGCCTACTGGATACATATTTAATAGTATATGTAATATAATTGCCTGTAAAAACTGTAATACAGGGTAAGAATGAAGGTTCATCTGGCCCAGTATCCTCTCTCTGACAATAGCAAGTAGTGGATACTTAAGACGATAAGAAACAGGTAGATGCGATAGAAGTCACATTACTACTGTTGAAACTCCTACAGAAAGATCATTTGACCCAGGAAACCCTGATGACTGCAATTATTTTTTCCTTACAATACGTTACTCTGAGGTGCAGCCAAGATCTACAGATTTCTAGGTATTTTGTGCCTGGAAAAGCTGCAAACCCCTTTTGACACCTGAAGGTGCATGAAGTTAAGCACGCATCTAAATGTTGACAGAATCAAGGCCTTTCTTTTTACTGGTCACTGACTTCACTGGAAAATTTCAAAAAGCTAAGTTCTGCCAATCTTCAAATAAAATTAACAGAACTTGAGTTGCAGTTCTGATGATCTCTTTGCATCCCTGATGTCAAAACTTATTGCTACCTCATAAATATAGTATATCCTTAATAGGAGCTACTCATTTGAAAAATATTTAGGGTAAAATGATGCTCTGAAACAAAATGACAACACTTGTATTTCTGCCCCAGCACATATTTAACACTGAAAGGAACAGATACATTCTTTAAAAAAAAATCAGAAATAGATAGATCTGTTTGTTAGCCTAGTACATGCAATTTAATTTTATGGTATTATTAATTATAAGGCACTTCAATTTAACATTATAAGCTACAATTCATTATATCATTATAGTCAGCAATTTTGTTTTTCAGTATACCTGTGACGTAAATACTTTTGAAACTGCTCCACTACAGCGACAAGAAACTCTGAAAGTGAAGCTGTGATTACTACTTTCAACTGATTTATCTTTACTAGTTTCAGGTGCATCTTCTAGGAAAATCTTTCTTCCAGTCAGAAAGTCCTCATCATTGTTTCCCTCTGGCACCACACATTTCTTTTGCTCTTCCATTTGATGTTCCTCAGAATCTGCCTCTATCAATTTTTCTTTCTTCTGTTTTTTAGCTGTAATATTTATCTCCTCTTCTGATCTTCTCTTTTGAGGTACAAGGTTTTCTTTTTTTTTCTCATCGTCATGAAGATTTTTCCACCTAGAAACTGTTTCCAGCCATGAACTGGGTTCCTCAATTACAAGTTGTTGAATTTCACGGACCATTCTTCCTAAAAGCAACAAAAACAACTTACACACATACACTCTTAAGTCACTCAGCATTAATAAATTATATATAATAAAGTATTTACAGTAATTAACAATAATGGAGTGAATGTCTAAGAATATTACACACGCAGTCTAGAACTTAAAAAAAATGCTTACTATATTTAAAAGACCAGGTCATATATTCATTTTATTTTTTCCCCAGAACTATGCATGTATGTCAAAAAAAAAAAAAAAATCAGTATAGGTAGGAACAGAATCACTAACTCCATCCTAATTTTCTGTAACTAAGTTTCAAAATATTTTGGACAGAAGGCATTCCAGGTGAAAGGGGTTAAAAAAAAGAACATAATTAGATTTTATGAATTTCTGAATGCATGAGGCATCTGTGAGAAACAAGCTTAGCACCTCTCCTTGTCCAAGTGAACTGCTTAGGCCAGCATGTTAATTTATCTGATTAATAGTTCCATGGTACTACAGACATGTTTATAAGGCAAATTCAGCACCCACAAATTTACTGTGCTACTCTAGATGAGATGCTTCACAGATCAGAAGCAATATCCAAATGGTGCTATGGTCCAGCTAATTAGCACTGGGGTAGGCTGTCATGGTCATTCAGTGGCGCCAATTAGCCTGACTGAAGTTCTATATATACCATATTTACTTGAATAGAAAATGACTCTGACTATAAGATGACCCCTGCACCCAATAATTAAATTCTATATATGGAAAATTTATACATTTGATATAATTTTCCAGGTACATAATCCAATTCTTGTAGGTTTGTCTTGAATTTGTCAACCCCACATTGCTACAGCACGGAAAATAAATTTGGGGGCGAGGGGGAGGTCAGGTAGCCCTTCTGCACCCCTTCCACCACAACTTCTTCTCCTTGAAGCCCTTCCCCCACTCCTTACGGTCCAACTCTGCTCTCCCTGGGCATAAGCAAGGGACAAATTTGAAAAAACAAAACAAAACAACCTTGAAAGAAACACAACGAGAGCAATTTGCATATAGTATCCACAGACATTGTTCACCCAGAAATGACGCATTTTACTTTTTTGGAACTGCTACAAGTTTTAGGTAGTTCATAAAAACATTTTTCAGTAGCAGTTTAGCACCTATTTAGAAAGAGTACAAACTATGCCTGATATTAGTCCAAAGCCAGCAGGCTGGTGATTTACCATATACTTCCACAGAATTAACAGCATTTCAAGCCATGACCACAGCTCAGCACTGCTCAGTATATGTATGTACTCCAGACAGGACTGTCCCTAGGGAAGAGGGTGAATCGGGGCAACCACCCCGCACTTTGGGGGGCCCTCTGCGGACAGTGCTGTACAGGCCTTGCTGCAACCGCCATGCACCGCCAGCTCCTCCATGGCTGCTGCACGCTGCCAGCTCCGTGCTCTTGCTGCTCACCACCACCCTCCCCCCACCCCGTCCTCTGGACACTCGCCACCCTCCCCATGCTGATATGCCCCAGGCCCCGCACACCCCTAGGGATGGCTCTGACTCCACACACCACTCCTCCCTCCACCCCAAAATGATCCATGTGCTAAATTAGGCCCCCACTCATGACTGGAACCCTAAAAACCCTCCCCAGCCACCTTCCCCCCCACACACTCACAGTTCCTCACAAAACACATACCCACTCACACCACACACACAACCCCCTATTCACTCCCCTACAAATCACACACACACACCCCCTCCACCACACCCCACATACCCACAAACCTATACTCACCCACCCACACCCTCCCACAATATAAAAGAATAAGACTTCATTTTAAGCTATTATACTATCACCTCTATGCACACTACACAAACACATAAATCAGGACAAAAATATTTTTAAATGAAATTAATGAATGTTGTAGATGTTTGATTTTTATAATATCATTTGGTATTTTTCTGGTTCAGAGATGCAAACCCCCTTGCTGAAAGGAATACTTCCAGGGGGCAAAGGGAGGGACTTCTGGTGGCAAAGGTCAGGGGTAAGGGGGTGGGACTTCTGGTCCCAAGATGGCAACCGGGGGGCAAGGCACCTGTCAAGGGGCAGGGCTAACTATGGCACCCTTGATGGCTTGCCAAAACTTGGTAAGCCACCTGCAGCTCTGGCCAAAATAACTGCCCACCCCTGAATTAGACAGTATTTAAGTCTGCTCCAAAAGTTGACATATTTGGCCTCCAGAGTGGTTTATTACTTACAGTACCAGTGTTGCAAGGCGACTTGGATCCTTACTTTCTATTCTACCAATACCAGTTTTACGTCTTCAGTAAATTCACTTAAAATCTTTGCAACTTATGCCCCTGGCAGATATTACAGTTGTTGCACATTACATGCAAGTATCACATGACAAGCTGTAACATGTTACACATTAAACCAGTTCATCCACAGCCAAAAATTGCAGATCAGTCACAAAGAAGTTGCTCACTGAAATAGCAACTTCCTTGTGGCATGGAAGCATCCCACAATAATTTTAACATGTAGCCCAGTACTGGCATGTTAGGGTTTCTCATGAGATGCTCATTTAGCATGCAACCACAGTGATGTCTGCCAGGGGCCTATAGTTGCCCCTAACTAACAGAAGAGAAAGATAATGCGTAATTAGCTCAGTATGGCACTTTGAAATGCTTGCCTCTAAAAAATCAATTTCTAAAAGTCACATCCATTGGCAAATCTAGAAATTTGAAACGGGGTGGGTGGTGTGGGGGGGTGAGATGGTGAGGTGCTTTATCACATATAAAATGACACATATTTATCTACAGTTAAAAATAGAATAGAAGCTTTACTAATAAGCTAGGGGCCTAGGACTATTATTCAGTTTAAGATTGAAGTAAAAACAAACATTACTTCACCAGAATGAGTTAAAAACAATCTCCAGGGCTGTGAAATAGGAGCCTCATTATCAGGAACAGCTAACAGAGCAGAATTGCAGAACAAGGGTAGCTTGATTGGTGGAACATCAAGACCATTAGAAAGAAGAGAGGGTTGTTAACAGCTGTGGAAGGAAGAGTTTAGAAGGGATCGGGTAGACAATGAGCCGTGAAGTGAACTACCTCCCTCATCACTGTCAGATAAGAAATACTGCTGCCACTGCCAAAACTTTGGGTGGAGCAGAAATCAAAGGAGGACTGCAAGTGCACCCCTTCCAGATCCACACCTGATAAAATCTGGCCTGTATGGAGTCAGATAAATTGCTCCCTGCTAATGTTCATTGATTTGTTTTTTGAAGAAAAATTTCACTCCTACAGATGTGCTGGCTCTGCACCATCAGCAGAAGAGGAAACTGGAACCTCTTTATGCTTGTGTGTATCAACAGAACTGTTAATTTAAGTTCCAAAAGCAAGGCCAAATTATGACCATAGTGAAATTAAGGTAAAAGAATTTCCAGAGGTGTTGGAGGGCAGAATTTGGCCTGCAAAACCTTTAATGCTAGATGCTGAGTGAAAGAAAAGAACCTTTTTCTTAGATCTCAGAGAGACTAAAAGGCTGCTAAAAACAACAAAAACAGCGTTTTAAACAGAACAGAACAAACTCAGTCTGGAATTAGAGAGCTAGAGCTTCTGCTATGACAGAAGACATCCGAACATTCAAAACTGTAACTCCTATAAGTAGAAGCCAAAATGATTCCTTTTTATAAGAATAGAAGAAAATGTAGTTATGTTATTAGCCAAGTTCCCTCAATTCTGGAAAGGCTTCATTTTAGGGACATGAATAGTCCTTTTGACTTCACTGGGCAAAAAAAATTTTGAGAAATTGAACCTTAAAGGACAAAATGAAGGTAGTTATTATCTTGGTTTTTATTGGTTTATGCATGAAAATAGAATTAGTTATTTCTATTTATTTAATTTTTTGAACTTCAGGTTCACTGACAATTTGATTCTACAAAAAAATTAGCATAGTTTCAAGACCCCAATAAAAGTCTAGAATCAGTACTTTTAGCTCATTCTAATCTCAACAATTCAGATTCTCATCCTAACACTGAAATCTTGCGATCACAAGTGAACTGCCTCAAATCTAGCAGATATCTGAAGGAAAGATGCACGGTATAGTTTACAATTTACTATTTTTAAAAGGACATCTGAATTTACTTAGACCTGAATGATGATTAGATTAGAATGATCTCATTCAACATGATGATTCATAAATACATCACTGTGCACCAAAACAGAATTTAACAGAAATTCAACAAGCCTGTCTAATGTATTAATACACATGAATGATTGGACATGGCGCAGCTAGTCTGAGTAACAAATGAGGCAGGGACCTAGGAGAAAAATCAATCACATAACCAATACAATGGAAGACTACTACAAGCCACCTGCAAGGGGACCGAGTTCAACTAGCTGAGTATGTCGCATTAATAAAGACTGTGAAATGGCTTTTTCAGAGCACTAGCAGATTCTAACCTCAACTGGACAGGAGAAGAGTGATATGCATGTTCTAGTGGCAAAAATGTATGTTAGGAAATAGCAAGATAGATTAGTTTTAGCAAATAAACAATTTTGAAAATGTCAGTACACACAAGCAAGCTTTATCTTTCTTTAAAAAATGCTTATAAATCTGCTAAATCAAAATAGATTTCATCCAGGCCACTTACAGGAACATCTCTGAGTCAGGGCCAATCCCAAATCACAAGGATTTTACAGCTATTTAAACAAGAGCCACCCCAATGGTTCATATGCATTAATGCACATGTCTGTAGAGTTTAGATGATGGTTTGCATGGGATGGTTTGGACAGGGATGCTCCTCCCTCAGGCAGGTGGTTGGATTAGATGACCTCTGGAGGTCCCCTTCCAGCCCTACTGATCTATGATTTGATGCCCTGCCCACTTGGTAATGAAATATCAGCACTGCTTTTCCAGAGGTTCAACTGAAGGAGGAGAAGCCCTAAGGTAGGGGTGGGCAATTAGCAGGGGTGCATATTTTTTTGGCAAATACTGATGGCCAATTATTAACCAGCCATATCGGCCGATACCAATCCAATAGCCAACATGCAGGCTAGCCACAATTACTTTAGAGCTTCTCCCACTTCAGCTGAACCCCTGCCCAGCCCTGAGCCTGCAGCGGACAGCCTGCCCTCACCCTGAGCACAAATCCAGGGGGCACATGCCCCCCCATGACTCCCCTGGGGGTGCACACAGCAGCAGGGAGCCCCGGACAAGGCACTCATATCTCCACTCCACTCCTGATACAGTCGCATTTGCCACCCTGGCTGGGCAGCGCTAGCTTCTGCCCCAGTCCCTCCCTCAGCACGGGGGCCTTGATCTGCACTCCCTGCACCCTTTCCCCTGCAGTGTGCCATGGCTTAAGTTTGTTAAAGCACCAGCCTCCTAAATAGGAGGTCTAGTTTTTCATCTTCAAGAGGAGGCTGGACAGATATTTGGCTGGGGTGTTATGAGCCCGGCACCTGTTCCTGCCTGGTGCAGGGGCTCGGACCTGATGATCTGTTCAGGTCCCTTCCGACCCCAAGCACTATGATACTATGAGTTACCGGCTGGATGCTGCTCTTCAAGCTGCCCAACTGCACTCCTAACTGCGTGCACACACATGGCATTTATCGGCTACACCCGCCAAAAAAAGCCGACTGCCAATAATGTTAATTTTCCTGTTATCGGTGCCAATCTGAGATGCCACCGATTTATCGGTGCACTGCTACTATCCAGGCCACTTCCAGAGTTTTTCTGAGTTGTCGCAGGCCGGTTGGGCATCTCCCCTCCACCACCGCCTGCAACAGTTCACCCGAACTCCAGAAGCGGCCCTTCAGCCCGAGTAAGCGCCCACCCGCCGGTCAGGGGAGCCTAACCTGCCTGTTCCCACCTGCTGTGCCACCGGGCCACCTG